GGTTATTGTTAGGGTTACCCAGGTGTAGGGTGAGGATAAGTTGAACTAATCACGTTCATGGTGCAGTCCACCACGTAAGACCACCTACCCGTGAGGATCATTTTGTACATAATTAATTGCTTTTATATATAAAGGATAACTGAAGCACTGACATTGAATAAACCAATCATATAATTGCCTTAGAAATCACTGGTCACTGTGAGATTTAGTCCAGTCCTGTATCACTTGTATTGACATTTATTGTAACTGACCTTTATTGACACTGGAATCAATTACTTAATCACAGAGCGGTGGTAAACTTCCACTGTGACCAAACGAACAGCCCCTAAGGCATATAGTTCACCGTTTGGTAACAGATATCCCCCCTTGCGTTTGGATAGCAGGTCATTCTTGTGTAAGGTTAAATAAGTATATTTGTGGGGTTAGGCCCAGCAAGGACATTAATATAGCCCGGCAAAATTGGTAATTTTGAAGACTTGAGAAAATTTAGGTTTAATGACAATGCTTGTTCTCATGCTGCTTCATGTTACAATTGAAGAATATGTACCCGAAAGTTGCGCGGACCCTAACATTAGGCACTTGGAATTTTATGTTTGTTTGTGGAGCAATATTTTACCTCCAATTTCACAAAAGGTGAAATTTAATCAAATGTCAATTTCATATACCGGGTATCCATTTACCAAGCTCCGATGACATTTTATTTGGCCCAATTTTCCAATTTTTTTCCAAAGTGCCAAATGAAATGCACCCCAAAAGATTTTGTTACAATTTTTAGTCAATTGAGTGGAGATAACAATAATTTACTAGAATTTATCATTTTTTAGAACCTCTGAAATTTTTGTGGGATTTTCTGAGATTTTTTTTAATAATAATGTTTGCATCATTTGCTTGTCACCAAGCACCTGATTCGGGGTGCTGGATGACGAGCAAATTCATGTAGCAGGGTAATTTACGACACGCCGTGAATATTGAAAACTGAAGTAGAGAGAGCCTGTACAAGTCTTACATGCATCCTTCAGTTATCAACAAAAATGGAACTTGTTCGATGTTGTGCTCCAAAGCGCATTATGATAGGCCTTTGTATAAAATATGTGTTCACAGTGCCAAAAGTTCTACTTTTGGGTTTGACGACCCCCCCACCTTTGGATGCAAAAGCGCTGCATGCGCGCCCGCTTATCAACCCCTGTGTATGTACACATGTACACATGTACCTGGACTATCTACACATGTTCATGTACACCTGCAGTGAGCAACCTTTTGAATGCAGTCATTCCCATTACTTTTGTATATGGCAGGAAGAATGTGAAAACACCTCGGTTTCTTCTCATTATTATATGTACATTAGAGTACAATTGAACTATTGTCATAATTTGATTTTCTGCTCATTGATAAAATTGTAATTTTGATTTAATTCTGCTGGAGAATTGTCAAGAGTAATAACCAGGACGTCTTGGAGGAGTTAAAGGTTAAAAAAGTTCACATACTGCAAAATTGCCTGGGATACTCGTATGTTAGTAGATAGTACCATGTGTGGTAATGTGGTTGTATACTTTCAAGTCAAAATTTCTTGAAAATCTCCAGCTCTTTTCGATATTTGTGTCCTCCCTTTGATCGGACTGTCACGACTGTCATTGATGGCAATTTCCGTTGGACATCATCAGAAACTGTCCAACTCCGTTTTATTTTCAGGGAATACGGGGCTTTTATGGTGATATCATTGAGAAGTATGGAAAGGTAGCCGGGTAAGAAGTCAACAAATTCTCCTGTCAATTGCAATGTAGTTTTTCCTTTTTTTTAAGGCTTCCAAGTTTTTCTCAAATCAGTTGATTAAAGTGTCCATGTACATATGTTGCATGTACGTTCAATTCTGTCTTTCCATAACGGGGCTTCAATTTCCACTTTCAACAGTGTTGGTTTGATTTAAAAACAAATGACTTTATTTTCAAAAGTATGGATCCACTAAAAAAACAACTCAAATTTGGCAAAATTCTACTTTGTTTTATTTTTCCAAGAAAGTTGTTACAGTCGAAGCTGGGATGTTAGAGAATAGTCTGAATTTTACTTTTTGTTAGTGCTTCCACATACATACATGACTTACATGTACGTGTAGTCAGTTTGTCTAAAATCTTCTCTGGCTGCAAATTGTGTTTTGTTGAAAATACAGCAAGCATGTGTGTTGATACAGCACACAACTCATTTACAGGGCAAATAAGGCCTCGTTTTGGGCATCAAAGGTGTTTGGTTTTGACTGTGGTTAAATTTTGAAGAGCTTATAGACATCAAAAAAGCCAGTGACTTCACACAATGATCATCTCTTACAGGTGTTATATGGGAGCAATCCCCACTGTGGTAATTGGTGATGTTGAGTGGGTCCAACAACTGTGCATCAAGGACTTTTCCAGCTTTGTCAATCTCAAGGTCTGTATTTGCTTGTGTCATGCCATTATGGTTAATTAGTCATTAATGTGCGAATTTTTGTAACACATCCAATATCAAAAGGTCTTCTTTTTTATCTGAAGATATAACCTTCAGGACAAGTTTCCTCTACCAGTGAAAAAAGAGAATCCTCTGATTTACTAAAAGCACACAGAGATCTGTTCTGGCGATGTTTGCTTTTTTTCACCTGCTTTGCAGTGAATTGCTTGAAAGTACCGGTTCTTATCAATTATCAGATGTTAGTGTCAACAATAAACAAAAAATTGCCTCACGATTGCATTCGGCAAAGTTGAAAGACATGATGGAAGCATGTATCCTCCGTGATCTTTTGGTCCGAGCACATGTACATGGTTTTGCATGGAGAAAGCAGGGTGTGACAAGTGATATAATGTAAAATCTCCACAATGGCTTATGCACAGGTAATGTACATGCGTATGCCATGCATAGTGGGCCTACCGGTATCGTTCAAGTTTCCATCAGCCTACGTTTTTCTCTTCATAACGGATGAGGGGATGGGGTTACTTGTGCATGGAGATTGTCAACCATTTTAATGCTTTTTTGGGGGACGCATTTTATTCATTGCTGACAAGTTGGCCATTAATGGAGTCTTGTAGTGACCTGATTTTTATCTCCCAATAGCCTATAACCGTTGACAGCAAACCGTTTCATAAATCCTTACCTACTTTGAGAGACAGTCATTGGAAGGACGTCCGAGGGATTCTCAGTCCAACATTCAGCGGATCCAAGATGAAGCTGGTGAGTCACGACCTTTGCACCATTCCTACAGTTTTGGTTGAGGGTCCCATGTTAGTAGACTTCCTACTCATCTTTGGGCGGTCCGGTGCAGTGGTGTACTTGTAATTCCTTGCCTTCCACCTCAAATGACTTAGGTTCGAATCCCATCCAGGCTGACATGAAGATTAGGGTCTCTGCTAGTCCCCACCTATTTCTGAGGACTCCCCAGAAATTTCTGTTGGGTTTACCTCCCACCTCTGATACTGGACAATTCTTCATACCTTCCCTGGGCTTCAAGGGAGAATTGTTCACTGAAAGTAAATTTACAAGTGTTTCTGGAAACAGGACAAGTGAATGCAAGTATGATCTCGGGGACTCCATGTACACTGTATTTAATCAATTTATACAAAAAAACTAATTCTGGTTTTGGAAAACAAACCCATGTCAGTCAAAATTTCATGTTTATTTGTCCCACTATCTCTCATTTAACAGATGGCACCAATCATCAATGATTGTCTGGATCCAATGATACGGAAAGTGACCAGATTGAATCAAGAAGGCAAGGGGTTAGAATTCAAGGAGTAAGTAACATCTCAACTTTCTAGCATGTCTCGTGTACATATATGATGCCAAGTATTTCAGTGTTAAATTAACATAGAAAATCCGTTGGAATACATTGAAATCAAACTCACTGATTTACTCAAGGCAGAGTTCAAGTTTAATTTTTTATCATATATACTGGTTGCAGTGAAATACAAGTACGAGATGGTGTGCATGGCACTGTGTACATGTACATGTAGTGAATGCTTAAATGGTATTGCATGAGATGGAAAATGGAACAATCTGTCTGTTGCCAAACATTTAATGTTTTCACATGCAAGCCAAGAATAATTCAGACAAAAACCCTGCATCACCCAAATAAGTCCCTACTTAGTAAATCCATACATCATCTACGGTATGGATTTAGAATTTATTTATTATGAAATTTCTTTTAGCTCCACATATGACTGTCCATCAGATCAGTGAAAATTCACCTGATCCATTTACTGGTGCAGCAGAATGTCACTTTTGTGGTGCAGCCATGCGTTGTTATGGGATTAATAATTCAATGACATATGACCAACTACCAACCAATCAAATGATACTGTTTTATACAATTATTGAAAGTTTTCAGTGGTTCATGTAGATGTAGGAAATAATCTTTTAGGCTTGCTATACGTCATTGAAAGAGGATAATTGTATTAAGTACTGAAATAAAGCTCAATAGATCTTCATCACGCAACACCCCAACCATAGATTCTCCCCAGTTTTTAATAGCGATATCTCTTCTTTGCCAAACTAAAAACCGGAATATTTTTGCGCGTATTTCTATTTGAAATTATTTCCAACCTCACTTTTCATGCTCGTGCAGTTCACAATCTTTCCACCAAATGAAAATGTTTCCTCTCAATTTGTCTTCGTTCAGAAAGGTATGCACATGCCTATGAAATTCCTCTAGTACTTCTGTGTTGTACTTTTCTTGCTGGTAGCATCCTGACTCCCTTTTCTTCTGTTTCTTCACCAGGGTCTACAGTGGCTTCCTGATAGATGCCATTGGCAGCACTGCATTCGGGTTGACCCTCAACTCCCAGGAAAATTCTGATGATCCCTTCCTCCATAATGCCAGAGACGTAATCAAGTTCAGGTTCAGCATAGCATTTTTAGTAAAGAGTAAGTTCTTCCTTGTCGGTAGATCGTTGCCCAAAAACGCTGGAAAAATGATGGACGTAGCAACCACTTTCAGTACAAGCTAACTTTATTTTCCTTTTGTTTGAAGGAGGGACTCTGACTTGCTCAGGAACAAAAGTGAACAAAGAATTCTTTAGGGAAAATATGTTAACATTCAACAGGATGGTGGCACTTCTGCAAATAATTTGCAACCCAACCAACGAACATGTCAAAATGCGGTATAAGTCTTGAGGACTACTTTTTTACTATTATAGGCCTCTTAACAAAATATTAATAAAATAGTTTTGTCTCAGTAATGCCTGCACTGATTTGACATCACAGTAAACTGATACTGGTAATTTTCAAAATCGCATGAACATTTGATAAGTGACAGTACACTGTAAGACTTGTATTGTTGGATCCTGTTGCATTCATTTATGCTTGCTGAAACCTTGTCTGGTACATGTAAATATACTTGGGTGAAATGAAGGCACAAATGATGCCAAAGGTAATGTTTTAGTTAAGGCCTGGCAAAACTACTTTCAACATCTTACAGCCTGGGACCTCACCTGTCCGGTCTGGGTTAATCATGAACTCTGGCATGTCCATAGAAACTCTGATTGTGAGACCCTATACATATGCAATGCTTCACTTCAGTGAGCCAGTCGTGTATTTCAAAAGGAAAAGGTCATTGGATGAGGGCACCCATGACACCATTCTATCTCAAATAATTGCATGTGAGTTGAGTCCACATTTGAAAACTACCTTGGTAGGCTTGACATATTCTGGTGTTCATGAATGGCATATGATGTGCTTTAGTATGAATTTGTGTTGTTAAAACATGGAACTGGCTTATTAGACAGATTTTCTAATTTGTACTTCAGCGCATACATCATGCCCCATACATGCTGGGTTGTGCATGATGATCGTGTACTAGCTTCCAATTTGGGATTTGTGAAAAGCACATGCACTCCGGCCTTTCCCACTGACTGATCACAAATGACATAGATAGACACAAGATGAGTGTGATACTTTGCATTTTAAACATGGGAACACTGGCAACAAGTGGCTTGAGGGGAAGTCTAAGTAGAACACTGCCAACTTGAACTTGGAGGTACAAAGTTTTTCCTTCCGTCATTTTTCTAGTTGAATGAGAAACAGATGAAAACAGTTACTGGATTAGGAGGATTGCCCAATTAGGATTTAGATCCAATCTACTGGAAAGCCTTACATTTTGCTTCCCCCTAGTGCTGGCCCCTATCCTGTCTCCAGTTGTGAACTTTTTCAACCTGACCACGTTTGACCGGAAAACTCTGAAGTTCTTTGAGGATGTGTTAGACCACGCTATAGAACTCAAAAGAGCTGGAACTGTCAAGGTAATGCACTGCAGCACACCTTATTCCGCCCAGTAACACCAATGCTCATGCCATGTGTCATGTAGTCTAAGCTCCATTAATCTTCTAAAAGCCAATGAATGGCCACAAATTGTATGAGTACTGATATTGAACCAATTTTGCATATTTGTATGTCCATATGAAGTACGGTCCCTAAATTTCAAGGTGAATAAACTTTTTTGAAGGGGAGATGGAGTGTTCTGTCATGGCCAACTTGGAGCTTAGATTGGATTGTTGGCACTATTCCACAGGCTGGCGCGAGTGTTGAGTGCAGTTTCTAGAGCCTCTTACCCCCATGCCATTAGGGGGAAAGAGTTCCTTGGCTTTTTACCACAATCCCGTGCAGTGGTAACATCTCCTGAAGGAAGAAGAAATAACAGACTGCATGTCACACTGTCAATTTCAGCGAGTGGACTTCCTGCAGCTGATGCTAAATGCCCAAGAGAGGACGGAGGATGACAAAGCAGAGGCCACCGAGGAAGAGAAACAGGAAGAAGAACATCGAGCCAAGATGAGCAAGAAAACGCTCACCGCGGATGAGATCAAGTCACAGGTGCCCACATGTAGATTAAAAGGCATTATAGACGACAGAAAGGAATACATCACACGCACAGTTATGTATGTAATGGACAACCAGTGTGTGAACCAACTTGCACGCATACATGCACTCCATTCATTTGCACTGCATTTCCTGGTTCAAGGGATGTCACGCTTCGGTACTCTATAACGAACGTCACAAAAACTAAACATTCAGCCAATTGGCTTCTGATGTGTATGTACACATTAAGCAGACACAGTGATTTGATTTGGTTCTTAATGAACAAGTTCCAATCTGCCTGGGCTTTAACAAATGAAGCAATTGTTGACTGCCGTGGTGTTAGACAAGCTGTATCTGTGTGTGTGTGATCTTCTTGAGGACATACATCGGTCTACTCAGCTTTGGCGGTGGAAGAAATAGAATAAATTGCTACCTACATTATATGTGATTCCAACCCAGCCATTTTGAGCCACACATCGCTGAGCTTCATTTGAAAACCCACATAGTGCATTTGTTAATGAGGGTGTCAGACTGATCTTGTAAAAAGGCAGAGTTGATTGCGTTCCTGCTAATGAAACAGGTCTCTGTGCTGATGATGTCACCATTTGTTTTACATACATGTACATGTGGGCTTTGCTGTGGAACTGATGGGGTCCACTCTCCACCAAGCATGATCGGAAAGCAATAAGCACAATACGTTCAGGTGGCATCGGCAGTAAAGAGACGCATTAAAGTGAAGTTTAAAGAGCTACTCGCGGTTCTGTGTGTTGGCTCGGGTTAAATATCCTTGCTGTCAGAATTTCACTTAAAACTCCTGGGCCCAATTTGGCAGTGCTGCATAATGGTAAGCTTATGTCACGGGTAACACTTCATGGTTGCTGTGTTTAGCACATGAACTGCATGGGCGCACCTAGAAATCTCCATTGTTACATCATTAAGTTAAGTAATTTTCCCACCGAGGTTAGCATGCCTTTTGCTGTGCTTATTGCTTACGATCTCTATGAAATACGTGGAGCGTCTGTTAGCGTAAAAGTATGTGCTTAGGGCCGTTGTGAAGTACGGCCCTGATGTGTCCAGTTGTGATTTTTGTTGGTGATCTTGTTTGTCCAGGGATTGATTTTTTTTTTGGCTGGGTTTGAGACCTCCGGCACCACCCTTGGATTTGCCTCTTACCTGCTGGCCACCAATCCTGAAGTCCAGGATAAGTTGGTGGCTGAGATAGATACCCTGGCACCCAGCCGCGATGACGTCACCTACGAGAACCTGACCAAGTTAACCTACCTGGAGTGGGTCATCTCGGAGACCCTACGTTTATATCCGCCTGGTTTTTTGTGAGTAGCGATAGTGGCTGGTGTGACAATTATGGGCTTTATATCAATTGAGAGGGAAGTTTATGTTACTAGCTTTAATTTGGTTCAGGTTTCAACTCTGTTGCATTTTTGAAGTTATTTGCTTTTGTAGTCATATTTTCAATATAAGAGGATCTTTGGAGCTGTACCTAAAGAAGGGCAGTGGCAGGTTCTGGGTTGAGGGGGCTAATTTTTTTTTCTAAAAGCAACAGTCATCCATGAAAGGATCCTCAATCCCCCAGCAAAAGAAAGGTCATACCAGTAGGACTGTTCTAAAGAGTTTGTGTTTTCAATTCTTCAAACATCGGCAATGGGTGAAAGGGGGGATGCGACAGTGTTCCCTCTTCTCCCCAGTGGATACACCTCTGAAGTAAATAGAGAGCATTAAAATAAATTTAGGTATTAATGCTTGTTATTAATGACACACCAAACAAAAGCCGGCTAAACTATCTGCCTTGAGCTGAAGTGCACCCTCACTGGCGAAAGAAAGACAGGCTGGTACGAAGTATTCCAACTGGGTTCTTACATGTTTTCAGCATGCACGCAAAGACCATATATTCCAGAATAAATTTGTTGCGCATACTTGGCATGCTCTGTGTCAAATGGGCATAAATTTGCATGCCTATACGGTGAGATCATACCATAGGACTGTCAATTTCATTTAAAAACACGCCCTCTTTTGTTTCTGCTCGGAGCAGATAAGCAGTAACCTGTGTTGCCCGTTCCTGTATTTTATGCACTGGATGATCAATACCACACACAGAAACGAAAAGACAACCAGTTTGGTGTAATACTGGTAAATGTACATGTACCGCTACTTAGTAAGTGGAAGCCTCATTGGTGTAATGTACATGTACATGTATACATGTACATGTATGCCCAAAGACTTTAACTGATGCCTGGTAGGTGATGAAATGGTGACTTACAGCACGCTGTTCTTCCCATACCAGTTGGCAGACTTTAGGTCCCAAGAGGGTGGACTTTGTTGGACTTTATCATATAATAGCATGCTGCTTTGTCCCCTAGTTCCTGTTATTCTAGTGAATCGGTGAGTATTTTGAGATGTATTCCATTCACTGAGCTCAGTTTGTTCGTCCCTGTAGGACTACTCGTGAAGCTGGCTGTGAGTACAAGCACAAAGGGTACACCATTCCCAAAGGTGTACAGGTTCACTTTGACGTGTGGCATATCCACCATGATCCAGAACATTGGGAGGACCCTGACAAATTCAATCCAGAGAGGTATGTCTATGACTGAGCTTTATACACGCCTTCTGCAGTTCCAGCTTGGTTCCCTCAATTTCTTACGTATTATATAATCCCAAAATA